GCCGCTTTCTAAAGCTCGTGGAATGGACAGTTTATTGACATCACGTTTAACATAACGTGAGGCATTCGCCATTGCACCTTATATATTTCAACTTCAGGCTCAGTCGCGGGATCCCCTACAAGACAATTGTTATCGTTGCGCGCTCGTATTAAAATCAATTCATGTCGAGCGTAAAAACCACACGTTTGTAATCCTCGCAAAAGCCTAGCAACATGTTAAGCGGCATGCAAAAGTTAAAGTATCCTTCTGATATGTGCGGTTTTAAGGCTCATCCTGCAGTATGCAGAATTGAAGTTTTTGCCATACGTTAGCGATAAATAGTTCTTGATAACAGTGATTAATCCAATGTTTCTGTTGCGATCAATCTCCACACGTTCAGTTCGTATCGAATTTCATCAAACATGAATGTCACGCAATTATTTGCAAGCGTTATCACCGACTCATCCTTCTTTTTCTTTATCACCAATTTTCCTTCAACGTAGAAAAAATTTTCACATGGTAATGTGTATAAATTCTGCTGTTGTATGGGTATTCATATTTCATCGCTGTGTCCAAACATAGCATTGGCATACGGATTGTACGTGTGAGTCTCAATCTTGACGATGCTGTCATCAAAGATTGGTTCACCTCCAATGTTTAGGATATTAGCCATCTCAGGTACTATGCACGGTAAAACCCAAAGAATTTAAAAATTTAATGTTGGAAACAGTGAGTTTCTTCTTGATAGATCGAATGCTTTTCACTGTTGCCTTTCCGGTAAAAATTATGTTTCTTGTACATTTCACCTGCTCATTAAGCACGAGCATCTTACGTTATCGCTTTCGTCTCCGTACGTGCAACCTCACAGTGATTTCCTCTCCACAAAAATCGAGCAATCGACAGTCTTGATCCACAACGGGAGTAGTCAGATCCGATATGCTCCGTGCGATGATCGGAAAATAAATAATCTGTGCCGGCGTTTCCGATATCTTATATCTTGACGGTACGCTCGGCGAAAACTCGTGAATCGTGTGCACGCACTTGTCGTTACTATACGCACCCGCGGTCACGTTACACTCTTTGCGAATGATATTTACGTTCATATTTATCGGTACATTTGATTCGTACCATTGTCGTGGTTCCAGCGTACGATTTGATGAAAATCCCAACAGCGATCCAATGTTACAGGATTTGATGGAATCCGATACGCGCGCTTGATCTCGCTCTTCATCGTATTATTGTTTGTGCATATCACCAGCGAGTAATCGTTCTCATCTTCTTCATCGCTTTTCGTTTTATTTCTCGTAGCATCGTTGGGACAAACATATAGGATTGCTCGTTTCAAATACACTGCTCAAAAAAATTATGGCATAGAAAAATTTTGAGCAAAAATTGGTCAACTTTGGTTAACGGTAACTCCGCGAAAAATCATCGCAAAATGATGAACTTTTTTTCAAATGAAAGCTTGAAATCTCTACTTTAAGATACTCTGAGTCGATTTTTAATTAATGCATCCCTGTTGCTGTAAACTCTTAAATCTGAGAGCATGTTTACCACACTGAAAATTGCAAAGTTTGAACGAGTG